TATATACATATATATATATGTAGGTTTTTTTTCTTTGATGGAGATAAACACTAAGGAGTCTGGTTGTGCAGATAAGCGTGTGTATAGTTGGTGTGTACAGCTGTGGAGACGAACAGATGGGCACAGAGGAGTGTGACGGGGCAGTCGGTTCACTTATCACCTGATCATGTGACAAGGGTCAGGAAGCAAAGACCCTGCAGCCCCCTCAAGTGGACAGCTTTAGTAATCTGATATTACTATGGAAATGATTTGGGGCTGAGGATCCGACTGAGCAAACAGGAAGCAGCACCGATCGGTCATATTCATTTTGCATGCGTCACCATCAAGACTTCCTGCTCGTTTGCGCCGTAGCATCTGTCACCAGGGCAGCGGACGCTTTAAGTTCTGTTCATTACTTCTAAACATCATCTGTTTAGATTTTTTTAATGCCGTTTTAATCAGAAAGCTTAGTTTTATTTTTTTCATTAATACTATTTTAATTTTTTATTGAACCACTGATGTTAAAACTTTGCACAGAGAAAAAGGTATTTGACAAACAAATGTGATGTCATTATAATATATGACCTTGTGTGTGTATGCACAGTGGGTGTGTGTGTATGTGTGCGTGTGTGTGCGTAGACATAGAATATACTCATACAAGTTCATGTGCAGATGTGGTCTTTAACAAATGACAGCTGTGTTTCTGCTCTAGGCACTTGAAAACAACATTAAGAGACAAGAGCGAAAGTTGGATTCAGGCAGAAATAAAAATCATTGATCCTCCAGTAGGCCTGGTAAAGATTAGCCGTTAGCCTTCATAGCATTAAACTAAATTAGTTTGAACTGAGTACTTTTTTTATTAAGGCAATTACATAACATTACTGAAATGATTTGCCATATTACACAATCTGAATAACCAGAACCCTGAGAATCATGTAAAGATGCAGCTTAAAAAAATTTATCAAATTGTATTCACATTTTGTCCAGACAAAACCTGCTTAGAAGGCCTGGCTCTAATAGCCACAAAAACAAAACAGAGTTTCTCAGGGTAAACGGATATCTGATACTGTGCTGGACATTGACCTTTTGGACACATCTTCATTAAAAATAAAAAAATCTAGGATGATACCCATTTAGCTTACATCATCAACAGAAAACAGTGAATACCAGTCAGACAGAAGCTAGCTCAAAAACGGAGGATGACTTCTAAATTGATTTTTATTTCAGGGTAAGTCTGTTCATTTGATTTGCTTGAGTGATATCTGCACAAATTTTCAGCTTTCGTTGCTTTGACTCTTTTTTTTAAAGGCCAGCATCTGCATGAGAGATCACACTACATGCATGTAGACGTGCACTGTGGTGTGCAGGAGAGTCTACGTGTGGCAGTACACTACCAGTCTTTACAAGCTGTGACACTAGAGGTTAGTTTCAGAGGATGTGAACACTAGTTTAACTCAGACTAAGATGCCGTGTCTAATGCTGAAATCTTACAGAGCTGAGACATTTGGGTTTGTTTCTCAAGTGAACCACTTTCCACATGTTTACTTCACTATTTTTATCGTTTTAAACAGCAGGTGAAGCAGCCAGCTATGCCATAATTAATGCTATATATATGAAATTGCCTTGAAAGTGACTAAATACCCCAGATGGGAAGATTTTGCCACAATTATACTATTACATGTGCTTCTAGCCAAAATCCCCTGAACTGCAGCCAAGTTACATTCAAAAAATTGTATCAACTTGTTAGTTCAGTGTCAAAAAGATGTATACCAAATATACTACATAGCCTCACAGTGACGTCATCTGCCATTAATCCTACTTCATCACCTTTTTTCTGCACAGATTGGTGGAAATATCAGTGAATGTCAGCAGCATGACGGCTGTTTTACTGGTTGAATGAATTAAACATTAGGGCTCAGATGGTGTCAAAGATCATAAGTTTTACAGACTTCACTTTTTACTTATTTTAAATGTAATGCCAAAAATATACAGTTGAAAATATTGTACCCAGGCTTTGGTAACACACACAAAACACAACATCCATCAACAGCTTAACAGATTAGTGTTGAACAAAACGATTCCCCTTAAAATGTGTCCTCATGAACAAAAGCTGAGCAATCAATACAAGTTAAACCTTTGTCATGAAGACAAAGTAAAATGTGAGAATTTTTTTTTTTTTTATTCTCAATACAGTTTGGTTTAAATTATGAGACCTATCACCCAAGAAGAAACTCACCCTGTATCATAGCTTTGCATCTAGAACCATGAAAAATGCATTGGTTTAGTTGAAACAGACAACAGAACCAGTTTTAAAATCTCATACCTTTCTTTTTCTGTGCAGTTCATATCTTATGCTTTTGGAGAATGTGTCCCTTTTGAGGAAGGTCTGTTGTGGGTTTTGGCATTTTAAAACCTAAGCTACTCCCAGGTCCAATCAAATGTAAAAATAATTACGTTTGGGACAGTCAAAGAAAACAAAACGGATTTCTAAATCGGATTATTTTCCCAGGGTTGCCTGTTCTTAGTGGCACTCAGTTGCCATGAGGTCAGCTCCACCGGTCATGAGATTCAAGTAAACACCAGTGAGTTACGTGCTGATGATCAAGGTTTCCTCCCATTATAAAACAAAACACACCAAGTCTGCTCTGTTCTGTTTGCTATTTGATCACCTTTGTCTTTTGTTTGCTGAATGCAATGCACACATTACAAAATGTACATAGTGTAAAAATGAAAATGGGTTTGTTTTACATACTGTATAATTGCCTATATTTTGGTTCAGAAGTGTAACAGATTTATGGGATGACAGGTTAACACATTAAAAAGAAGGAACTGAATCATTTGGTGTTGTGATGGTCATTTCTGACATGCAGCGGACTGAGCTGTTTCCATGTGAGAGGTTTTGGCGTGTCACAGTGGGGAGGGGCACGTAAATAAATTAATTAATGATGGTTGAATTACAGATAGCTGCTTCGGTTTCAAGGTCCTGGTGTTGTGCATGCTGGCTCACTGTGTCCTAACACTGGGACGGTTGAGTAGACAGATGTTAATGCTGGTAGCATCACCTGTGCTCTTCGTGCTATGACAGAGGTCAGCTAAAAGGGCTTCGTCTGAGAGCTCTGGTTCAAAAGGCTGTATATACATTTTGAACAAAACAAGGACGCTCAGCAGTATTGAATCTAAGTCAAGTTATTGTCATCCAGTTCTTTCCAGTCCAACCTCCACCATCTTCAGGCAGATTCCTAATAGCTCTCTGTGTGGTTTGGGCTTCATATGCTATTACACATTTGCCAAATGAGTAAAGTTTTGATCTTAACTTTAACTACTATTATAAAGAAGGTTACATATTAGTTGTTTTGTATTGTTAAAGTATGCCCCAAGAGTGATTTATTCATTTTTAATATCCAGTCAATACAAATTCACCTTAAAGGACTTTATAATCTACACAACACTCACAATAACCCCTAGACCCAACATGAAAATTCTGAATAAATTCAACCAGCTGAGCCACAAAACAAATTGTGTTGACCTTTATTGAACATTCATAATGTCTCCTGATTGTCACGTTCATCTGTTGACAAAACTATTCTGGTGCTTGCATAGAAATAATTGTCATAAAGAAAACCTTGCTTTTTCCTTTAAACAAAATGCTCAAGCACATACAAACATGCACAAATTATAACGGTTTGTTCTCCCGAGTATATGCACAGTATAATAATGTCTGATTATGGCTTAAGATTTAGTCAGACTGGTGGCTGTCAGGCCGACCTGTACCAATGGGCGACACAAAGCTCTACGGTAAGTGCACAGATCTGAAAGGGCCGCACCTTGAAAAAGGAGGAGGAGGAGGGTGTTAGTTACCTAGGAAACTAGAGGCAGAGCTATTTACATACTACACCCTCTCGTGGTCACATTTCTAACCACAACAAAAGGTTTAACTTGAGCGGAGTAACTTTTTAACTGTATAGTCACGTTATTGAAGCGGCCATCTAAACCCACACT